CTTTGGTTGAGGACCCGTCGTTCTCCTGTCAGGAGTGGGCGCCATACAAGCATCCTAGTCCATCCTCTTCGGAGGTTAGGAAGTGGTCAATGGCCCTCTTCCCGTAAAAACTAGCCATAGGAGACAACATGCCTACGGATTATAAGCTCACAGCTCGATTGGCGTAGAGCACGAGCGCCACGCATTGTCTTTGACGGTGGAAGGGCACCTCCGGGTGTTCAATGGTTTGCTACTGCCCGCCTCAAGCCAGGCAACCCCTGGTCAAATTGGTGCAAACCCGCCAAAACCCACCTGCGTCTGGCCGTGGTGGCAGATGCGTATCCTACTACGGTCGCAAAATATATATAAATCATTCCAGTACCCCCAAGGCTGCGTGTGACGGCCGTCAAGCAGATCCCAATCTGTCTCTGCAATCACATTCCCGAGCTGGATGTGCTCCCCACTGCCTTGTGGGTCAGGCTATTGAGCCAAAGGCTCCGGGTGGAGTCCCTCAAGCAAACATCCGAAGCACAACGACCATCTCGCGTGCGATTGCCCACCAATGCAATCGTAGGCCTGCGCGCAAAGCACTCAGCATCGGGTGCTGGAACGTGCGCACATTACTGGATCGGAACTCCAGCGAGCGCCCGGAGCGACGAACTGCACTGGTCGCGATGGAACTGGCGCGCTACCACATCGATATTACGGCTCTCAGTGAAACTCGGCTCGCTGAGCAAGGTAAGTTACATGAAGCAGGTGCTGGCTACACATTCTACTGGGTGGGGTACGCCGCCTCAGCACCACGTGAACATGGGGTCGGATTTGCAATATCCGATCGCCTCCATGGCCAGCTGGTGGGTGAACCAACGGACATCGGCGCGCGAATGATGACTGTTCGCCTACGACTCGGAAGAGGTAAGTTTGCTACTTCCAAGCACGTACGGTCCGCCTATGTGTTATCCTGATGACACGCGTGATCAGCTCTACACTGAGCTATCCTCCGTGTTACGGTCTGTGCCGAGGAGCGACCGACTATTTCTGCTGGGTGACTTCAACGTGCGCGTTGGGCGTGATGCATCAGCGTGGACAGATGTTATCGGTTCGCATGGCATTGGTTCAGCGAATGCGAACGGTGACAGGCTGCTCTCACTGTGTGCCACTCACGGCCTGACGATCACGAACACACGGTTTGCACTGAGTGCGAGTGATATTGCAACTTGGACGCACCCAATGAGTGGTCACGCTCACCTACTCGACTATGTCATCGTACGTCAGCGTGGTATGCGTGAAGTGCGCGTGACACGTGTACTGCGTGGAGCTGAGTGAGGCACCGATCACAAATTGGTTCGGACCAAACTGTACATATATTTTCGTAAATCAATGTATTGCACTCCCGCCGTGAATCGGCGTAAATTTAACATTCTCTCCCTCGGTACTGTGGCGAAACGTACTGAACTGGAGAAGGCGATGGCTGCACGCCTGTGTGATTTGGACTGCATAGCCACAGTGGGCGACCTGTGGCACCAAATTCGCGACCAGGTGACAGCTGCCGCCGAGGAGACTATCGGGCGCACAAACTGTAAGCTGCCTGATTGGTTTGATGACAAAAATGCGACGATTGGCGCATTGGTGTCGGAGAAGAATGCAGCATTTGCTGCACATGTCGCAGACCCCAGTGACTTGGGGAAGAAGAGTCAGTTTCGCAAACTTCGACGGCGACTGACCCGAGAGCTCCGTTGCATAAAAAATGCATGGTGGACGGAGAAGGCGAAGCAGATGGAATGCTACGCCGAACGCCGCCAACACAAGGAATTCTTTGACTCCTTGAAGGCGGTGTATGGACCGAGATTGGAGCCGCTGAGGACATTGATCGATGGTAGTTCAGGCGCTACCTGCACACAGACTGCAGACATAATGCAGATCTGGCGAAAACACTTTGACTGTCTCTTGAACAACCGTTCAGAGATCGACTGGCCTACATTGAACTGCCTGAAGCAGCACGATGTGAAGACGAGTCTGGTGGACACACCGACACTGGATGAGACGCAGAGAGCACTTGCTCAGCTGCGAAACGGCAAATGTGCCGGAGCGGACGGGATCCCGCCTGAAGTATTGAAACACGGCGGACCCGCGTTGTTGACTGCGCTGCACCACTTGGTGCAACGTGTATGGATTGAGAAGGAGGTGCCTCCTGAGCTGAAGGATGCCCTTGTGCTACCACTGTACAAGGGCAAACGGAGCAAGCAATGTTGCACGAATTATCGTGGCATCAACTTGCTGAGTTGTGTGGGCAAGGTGATTGTCCGAATCCTGCTCAACCGCCTCGTCAGTCAGGTTGTGGAACCGAACGTGACGGAAGAGCAATGTGGATTCCGTTCGGGTCGCAGCACTATAGATATGGTGTTTGCGGCTCGTCAGTTGCAAGAGAAGTGCAGAGAAAGACACCAGCCATTGTACTCGCTTTTTGTTGATTTTACCAAGGCATTTGATACGGTGAACCGCGAGGCATTGTGGCTGGTGTTGGGTAAATTTGGTTGCCCGCGTAAGTTTGTAAGTTTAATTGAATGTCTGCACAGTGGTATGCGAGCGAGGGTGCAGCTGAGTGGAGAGACCTCGGATGACTTTGCAGTTGTCACTGGTGTGAAGCAAGGCTGTGTCTTAGCTCCTGCCCTGTTTAATATATATCTTCATGCAATGTTGTCCTGTGCTTTTGATGCGGCTTGTGCTTACGGTGTTCGTGTGGAGCACCGTATTGATAGTGGGTTGCTGAACATCCGTCGTTTCGGTGCGAGAACTCTAGTCTGTGAGACAACTATCCGTATGTTGCTGTTTGCTGACGACTGTGCGTTGTTTGCACACAGCGCGGATGAGTTGCAGCATATGACTAGTGCTCTGGCTTCGACAGCGGCAAAATTCGGGCTCACCATCAACACAAGCAAAACTGTCTGTCTCTTTCAGCCTTCACCGGAGGTGCAATCTTCAATATTGCCGCGAATCAGCATTGGTGCTGAAGTATTAGAAACCACCTCCCGCTTTTGCTACCTTGGGAGTGTGATGTCGACTGATCAGCAGCTGCACAGTGAGCTTCGTATCCGCGTGTCGAAGGCAGCGGCGGCATTCGGGAAGCTTGAGTACCGAGTGTGGAACAACCATCAGCTTACCATTGGCACGAAGCTGATGGTGTACAAATCCATGGTGCTGTCCGTTCTTCTATACGGCAGTGAAACGTGGACGATGTACCGTCGGGATGTGCGATATCTCGAGCGGTTCCATCAGCAGTGCTTGCGACGGATTTTACGCATCGGTTGGGGCGACAGAGTTGCAGACACGGAAGTGTTGCGCCGTAGTGGAATGTATGCAGTGGACTGCATACTTTTGCTGAGACATCTGAGGTGGCTCGGTCATGTGAGCCGTATGGATTCAACGCGGATACCGAAGCAACTCTTATATGGTCAGCTGAGTATAGGGAAGCGGCACGTGGGGAAACCAAAGTTACGTTACCAGGACATGATTAAAGTGAGCCTCTCACGTTCTAATCTTGATTGCAGATCATGGGAATCGAAGGCGGTTGATCGGCGTGCATGGCGCGATCTGATCACGAAGGCAGTTGCCGAGGTGCAGGAGAAAGCCCTCATGCATGCAGAGAAGCGGCAAGTGCGGAAGCGGCAAGCACCGATGGGTTGTTCTCCATCGACATCAAGCGCATGGTGCTGTAGCACATGCGGTCGCGAGTGCCTGAGTCAGGCAGGCTTAGTGAGCCATGAGCGAGGCCACTCGGGACCACTACCGAAGCGACGACGGGTCCTGCAGAGAACGTAGGCAGAACCGGCGCAGCGTTTGTAGGTACGCTGCATTCGATTTACTAACCGCGTGCTTGCATGCTAAGTCTCTTTATTTCAGGTGGTGGGTTTTCAATTTGTCCTAATGCTTTTCTTTCTCAAATAAATGTCTACCTGTACACTCTTCTATAAACCTGCACAACTCGCTTAAGCCAATTGTAGTTAATTTCGATAACATTTTCGCGTTTGTGTCATTTCCGTAAAATATAATTTCTGACCCCCTGAACTTATCTCGGATCCTTTGTTAACAACTTATTTCATATGCTCATTAATTTAAGATTTTTGTCACGTTTCCTTATGCATTACTCGATTTATTTTTTGTTATCTTTCTCTCAAGTGATTGGCTGTTGCTTGATATCCCCGGTGTGGCTGCGCTTGATGTGCATGTTGACAAAGTGCCTACCTGTCTATTACCCACTACCTCGTCCATACTGGCTCTAGGAGACAGTTGGTCGTTGCTGGAGGGGACAGGGTGCACGGTTCTTGTGGCCGTGTTAGGATCAAAGAGTGGTTCCATGCACTCAGTGTGGAGCGGACTACGGTCCAGCCACCGCCTTGTGTGCGCTTGATTCCCCAAATACAGCGTGCTTGTGTTTGCCTGTGAAGGAGTGTGGGCCGGCTCCGTTGATGAAACGTGGCTCCCATCCACATGCCTCCCGGTCTTATTCCTTCGGGTTTACACTGGATATGGGGTGTGTGGTTGGAGCTGTGGGTGGTGCAGCGCAAGCCATCCATGGTCCCTCTGTAGGCGCAGGCGTCCTGTGGCTGGCCACAGTGACAGGCAAATCCGAAACCGGATGCCGCCAACCATATATATATATATATATATATATATATATATATATATATATATATATATATATATATATATATATATATATATTGGTGCCCCACACCAATCGAACTGCGAGCTTATAACCCGCCGTAAATCTGTCGACCTCAACCAAACCCTTGAGGACGATGCTGAGACTCAATTTATTAGACCTCTAACCATTGGTCTGTTTGAGATGGCCAGTTCTGAAGTCACTCACGAAGTATCAATCAGAGTAGCTCGAGATCACAGAAGTACCCGAAGCAGCGCACCAGGTCAAAATCCGGTCTCGTCGCGACGATGTGCCTATACTGTAGTTATGAGTTTGTCGGGCAACCCATTGGAAACATATGTTCATAAGATAAACTCACTTTATTTACTGTGATGAAACCACCTCCATGTGGAGCGGGAATCTGGCCAGATAGTAACTGTACCGCTGTTGTCAGATGCACTTGTCGCAAATTCAAAGCACGGGGGTTCAATACGATGATGTAGTCCGCATCGGAACGGAGTGCGGCACGCACGGCCACCTCCAAGAGATTTACAAAGTCAAGACCCTGAAAAAAGAAATATAGTTAAGAGAAAAAAGGAACAGGTAATTAGAAATCTGGCGGCTGAACTTCTTCATATAACCCCGTCTCTGCTCGCATTCGAAGAACAAAACTCACGGGGACAGTGACATATTCGATCCGCGTTCTACTAGACCCAACCAGATGCATATGTGAAGGAAATGTATTATCCATGGGTACATTTGGAGATTTGCCAAAATAGGTGCTAGATTTATCTTCAGAAATGTGCCAGGAGCAATAAACGGACGGATCCTCCCATACTGTCTTGCTACCAGCGTTGCAACGAGCCAACCAGAGTAGATCGGACAAACGTTGACGGGAGGTATCGGAAACGGAGCCCCGGTGTTTGACAGAGTTCTGCACATGAGATTGAGGGCAAAGTGCAGGAAATGTAAGTGAAATAAGAGAAAAACGTCAAGTGTCGCTTAGTTAGATCGAAGTAGAAGAGGGTTGAGAACAGTACAGTTTCTCAGTCACGATGTGGTGCGGCGGATCTAGTTATCATTATATACGTGGCCAAAATGATTACAGAAATTATGCAGGCGGAAGGAGCAAGGAATGAAATCAAATGGTTCACGATTGAGAAAACGAGCGCCAGAATGCTAATGATTTGGCGAATGTGCAATATCCGACAGAGTAGCTAGCAATACTGAACGTTAACCGGAGATGGGTGACACATCAGCTACTGTGTCAAAGGATAATGCAAGTTAGTTGGCAATAAGAAAAAGAAAAACGACAAAGGACATCATTATGACCGAGAAGGAAATCACGATTGAATGGAAAGGCTAAATGGGACAGGATGGAAAAAGAAATTCACAATACAAACAAAGTTGGAATAGAGATACCGGTGTGGGTTGTGAAACGTCGTCACAAAGTGAGCAGCTGGTCTGTAGCTAACTTCGACCCTAGGTCTGTAGATCAAAAGCATAACACTAAAGCAACCTCGTTCCGTAACGATCGACATTTTACGGTAAAAGGAATTGATCTTTATTTGAGCAAATATTCAAATGTGGACGATGCGAAAAAATACCGCACGAAGAGACAAAGAAGACATCCCAAAAATTCAAAATGCATGTCAAAGTTGTGCATCAATGTGGAGGAGATAATGGAGAATTGTCCAAATACAGACATTTTCGGTAAGAAGACCAACTACCGTACAGGAAAGTATACAATCAAAACTGCTCTACTTTCTGAGTGAAAAAGCGACTTACTTCGCACTTCGTCCGCTTTTCATGCCATTTCCTGGCCTTCGAGTGGTTTGGTAATACAGATAACCATCCAGAGAGTTCGAACGCACTGGAGTAACTGGTACGATAAACGAGAAAAACTTGGGAAACCACAAGGTTTGCCAGAAATTGCTTCGCCTCAAGCCAAGTTGCCAAGCAGTTTGCCGTCAACTCGGTGAGAATTCGGTCAAGAAGGGAAGAATGCTTCAAAGAAGATTGTAAGAGATCGGGAACACCGGCTTCACTAGCAGAGATAGATACTCGTTCAGGAATAGGGAAACGAGTTAAAATGGCGATACCGACTTTTTCGGGCTTACGCAGCAAGGAAGAAAAGAGGTGGCAAACCTGGAACCTTAAAGGATGGAGCTTGAAATCTGAAATCTGTAAGTAGGTCGGATGAAGCGAAAATCTACCCTGAGCACCTGTCAAGAGCGCATACAGAGCGAGAACAGATTGACTCAGCATCACGTAGGATTGTCGCATACTGTCCAGTAGCCTGCTCAAGACGGTGCTTACCATCTTCGACCCGAGGAATAGAAACAAACGAATGGACAAGATAAAAATAACTAACATTGGACAGCTGCGCCGATGCACACGAGTAAACTGGAAAGAAAAAGCGAGAAACAGTAACGGCAGAAAACAATATTAGTTACGTGTTAATAACATCATTACAAGAGAACAAGTTCGATGAAGACCTCATTACCGTCAAAGGCCGGCATCAACATTACGTCGTATGCTGGACCGACGCTTCGCTGCTGCGTAACCACCATCAGTTGCATGTGGGCTAAGGATACTGCGAGGGTCGCCCGGTCCCTACGCAGGCTCGAACCCGCGCTCTGAGATTACAAGGCAGGCATGTGATTCTCAAGGCTGCGGGTCGTCAAAAGACATCAGAAGTTGAAATGGCTGATCAGCGGTGATCGACAGAAGATGGATACAATAAACATAGATAAATATTTCAGTTGTTTGACAGACTGAATGCATAAAAACTTGTCACTGCAGTCAATGTGTAGATTTGCAAGAGTAGTCAGCGCAGTACATGGAAAAGAGTATATCCCAAAATCTGAGATGTGGTGGTACAGAGGTTCGGCAGGTAACCATTAGATACTGGGCTTGATTCCCACATCTTTGTGGGGCCGCATGCGACTGCAGTATTAAACCACACGTACAAGTGATTGTGATTACAAGGCGGCAAAATATCGGTGTGTACTACTGGTTTCCTGTAGGTGACTTTTAATTTAAACCGGTTGGTTTGCACCACTTGTAATAGCAAAAACTGCGCCATATATTTTTTCTTGTCCCCCTGCGGTTGGATTCCTATTCAACACCTATTAGACCTACACTCAGCACCAGAACATTCTTCCGAGTGCCCACTAGAAATGCCTGTTAACAAAGTGAAAACGAGAAGCGCCCTCCTCAGGCTGAAGTTGAAAATAGGAAAGACTATAAAACCCTCTGATAGCACTGTTAGGAACCCACCCGATATTACTGTAAAAAAGGGACGTCCATCATCTAAATTCCAAAAAAAGTCGATGTAGATGAAAACCACACCAACTTTACTACCACAATTCTGGCTGAAACAACAGACCGGATTATAGTCCTTGAGAAGTAGCCACGCTGAAGTGTAAGCTTCATGAATGCAGAACATACTATGAATAAGTCCTATCATTCTGTGGACTGCTTAGATTTTCAGAAACTGTTACACTGGACCGATTGAGCAAAGCTGCTTTCTTACTAGACTCAGTTACATCCGAAAAGCAAGAACGCCTTCGTAGATCGCATAATGTTGTCATTTTAACGTGCCTGATAAACCGAACATTGACAGGGTAACAAATGCCCTCTTAAAAGCATGCAATATGGATAGAGTCTCCAGTCAATGCCTCAGAGTGAGGAAAAAGGAAAATATGACCACATGTCCGATACTCCTACAGTTTCCAGACGATAGGAGCGCATCCAAATTCGTACGCAGTAAAAGACTAGTTGTTGCACAAACTAATTTTAAAACATTATCTTCAAACACGATCAAACGTCTCTTCAAAGGCGATTAACAATGAAACAAAACCCCTATGCCCATCATACACCCCATGTTCCTAATAATGAACCCAGTACTGACGCTGTCATCAACAATGTCGACATTGATAAGTCAACCGCACCATCTAAAATAGGCGATGACGGGCATCTTAGTCGTCAGCGGCCTCATGAAAGATTCTCAAACAGCAGTAGTGATGTGTCCATAACTAAAACTACCAAACAAGCTGAAAATATAACGACATAGACATCTGCTGACCACACACTCAACTCCTTTGTCTCTTATCCAAACCCCAAGCCTTTACAAAAGTTGACAGTAACTGTACCTGAGACCTATCAAGTGCGATACAAAAATTCAGATCGTAACGGTGGCAGCACGAAAAACAAATCTAAATCCGACCCGAATGAAGTAAGCTATAGGTTATCTCCGACCAACCGAGGCGTAAGCAAGAACAGGGGAAAACAAACTGCCAAAATTTCTCTCGTAAGCACTCAAAGCTCATTAGGTCTGAAGCGACCACCACAAGAACGTAGATATGCAGCTAGGCCAACTGAGAAAAAGTGTACATCCTCAAGCTTCTACATGCAACACCGACACTGTTGTCGGGATAGGTCGCAGAGAGCCGGCCCAATACTTACCCACAATGTCTGACTACGCTTCCAAATCCCGCGACCTCAAGCTGGAAAGGGCCCTTATGTGTGCAACACCAAAATAGAAAACAAAATGGTGGTAGGCCACACGGACTTACAGGTAAGAGGGTGCAAACCCTATCTACCTCAAGTCAAAATTCACCCACCACCACTCCCCTGTAGTACTCAACTGGCAACAATACAATTCGAAGAAAAATGATTTTGTAGACTTCAGCATCCCCCACCCCTGCATACTACGCATGTAGGTCCCTTTTAGACTATCGTACACCACCACTTCCTCCCCTACCAATCCAGCCCCAATCACGTGCGATAATGAAACAGAGAATAATCAAACTACTGGAGCATGTACTTCTTTCAATCCAATACGATGTAGAGCTGAGTGTGCCTCAGCTATCTCACAACACACAGTTCTCAGATACAATGACGAAACAAACATTACCCACCACTTTCATTCCATGTTAACAATGTCTTTAAATGCTGTTGTCATTAACATTCATTCCCTTTTAGCCAAATTAGATCTACTCTCAGCACTTATGTTTATGAGATCCCCCGATATTGTTTTTATCACTGAAACTTGGTGCACGTCAGAAATTAGTGATTCTCAGCTTAACATCTTAGGCTATAAGCTTTTCCACAAGGATCGCTCACACAAACGTGGTGATGGCTGTGCCATATATCTTTGAAATAACCTGACTGCAATTCCCGCAGATCAACCTGTGTTCAATGACTTAGAAGATACACGATGGCTAGTGATCCTATCTAATGATCTTCTAGTGGATTGTATCAATCGGTTGACGCGAACTATTCAATGCGAAACCCAAAAGCCAATCGATATGATCAATGCTGCTTCCAGCACCACATACAAACCCAAAATTATGTGTGGAGATTTTAACCTACCACATGTTAACTGGATGCTGCCTACACTCAGAAACACTGCGGAGATTGAGGAAATCATCTCACGTATTCACCTCAATGGCTGGACTCAGCATGTTAGAGAGCCAACCAGAAGTGCCGCTACCTTAGACCTTGTATTCACGATGGGAATCGCTTACGCTTATACATTCATTGTTAATCCACTAACTGGCTGTGATCACAACACGGTGCTTTGCGATATGACTATAGATTCAACTAAACGACCAAGTAAAATGCTAAAACCCATTCGCAACCTCCATCATGTGGACTGGAACTCACTTAACGAACTTATCAGTACCATGAATTGGAATGCGCCATTCCTAACTCACAACCCTACTGCGGCTACAAATGAGTTTATGAACATATTGCCCTTGTTGTGGATCTCCTGGTACATACTCTATGGAAAAATACCCATGAACATAGTGGTGAACTCAAGCTTCTGTACAGAGTCAAAATCAAACTAACGAAACTCAAATCGCAGGAGCAACAGCTTCGCAACATTGCTACGAATACACAAGAATTTACTACATTTACAACGTCTAACCTAACCGACCAAATCAAAGAAGAAAGTCAGGTATACAGAAATCCTGAGAAAGTACGTATATTGATGCAACTACTCAAAATAAGGAAGCCTAAACCACTTCAGGAAATTGAAACGTTGGCTCTAGACGATGGTTTAATAACGCGCGACATCTCCTGTGTATGCGAGGCTATCAAGTCTAGTTTTGTCTCCTATTTTGTCCCCAACACTCAGCCATTTCATCCTCCACTTCGAAAAAGAACGATCGAACTATACTGCAATATCCCTGTGACGTTAAGAGAGGTGCAAAGTGTCATCGCAGCCATAAAACCATCAACTCGTCCAGGTCCAGATGGCATCACCCCAACTGTTATAAAATTCAGAGCAAAAACCTCGCTCTATTGTTATTAAACATCTTCACACTTTCACTCGCTTCCGACTGCTTTCCAACTCAATGGAAGCAATCCATTATAATGTCTAAGCACAAGGGTGGCCCGAGAAATCAAGTGTCAAGCTACCGCCCAATAAATCACAACTCTGCTGCTTCCAAAGCGCTAGAGCGAATAGTCAAGAAGAACATTGTTCAATAATTTACACGACTGGATCTGATCAACCACTCACAGCATGGCTTTCTCTCAAAACGCTCCTGCGTTACATGCCAGCTACAATTTCTCGATCACGTCACAAGTATGATTGACAGAGGAATGGCAATTATTATAATTCTGTTGGACATGCAAAAAGTGTTCGACCGCGTGCCGCACAAGCCACTGCTGTCTGCTCTAGAGTTATATGTAATTGGAAGTCCTCTGCTTAACTGATTTGATTCATACCTAAACGGGCGAACTCAGGTAGTTAAAATCGGTTAGCAACATTCTACACCGAAGCCAATAACCAGCGGTGTCTTCCAGGGAAGTGTGCTCGGACCACTACTTTTCCTAATCTACGTAAACAACATATGTGACCCGATCAAACATGGACACCCATTTCTGTTTGCAGATGACGTCAAACTGATTTACTCATTTCATCCAGACCAACTACATATATGTTTGGGAAACATTTGTGAAGACCTATCCGCACTAAATGTAGCTAGTGAGCGTTTGTTAAAGAAGTTCTCCGCAGTGAAATCCCAAGTACTTGAGTTCCGATGCCGCATCCCAGAAGGCTGCAACATACTTACCGGAAACGTGATCCCAACATCTGATTCAGTTCGGGACCTAGGAATTAGGTACTCCAACTCTTTCAATTTCTCCGAACATGTATTTTATCAGGTTGCGAAAGCAAGGCAGTTATGCGGATATATCACCAGAACTTTCTCCCTACCAGAAGCACGACTTGAGTCATTCAAGACAATAGTACGACCGACTCTGGAATATTGTACTATCGTTCACAGCCAATTGAGAAAGAAAGACAGAACGGTTTTGGAAAATGACCAAAGATCATTTACCAAGCTGGTCATGGGGCGCAGCTCAAACCTGACTTATTATGATCGCTGTCGAAAACTCCAACTGGATCCTCTTTGGCTGAGACGCTTAAAGAACGACTTCGTTCGCTTCCACATTATAAACAGACGAATGTACGCAGACATCACCGCACTTGAACTACGAAAAACTGCAGGCAACCCCACACGCAATGGCGGCTACTTGATACGCACAAACCATTCAAGTCATAAAACTCGGTCGAATTTCTTCTTAATGAGAT